GATCTACGGCTTCGAAATAATAAAATTAATAAATCAGTTCCAAAATATATTTTTATAGCTCTTATTATCGTAATAATGTTGCTAAACTAAATATATAACCCAAAAATATATAATTTGATGTAAATCAAATATTTAAGAGAAATTTATGTTACTGGATCTGGCTTAAACACCAGCCTACTGAAGGGTGTACGTATAGACCTAGTCTGCGTTCATACAGTATGCACCCAGTGCCCTTAGCTTTGTCTGCGATTAACGTACAGTATTTATCCACCGGTGGAATAATTGTGGAATTGACCATTTTTTTACTACAGCTCTTTGGTTATAAAACAAAATGTCTCAGGGGCTTACTAATAGTGCCTTATTAATGCCAAAAATGAAGCAATATTTTGCAAGAACTAGTAGCAGAAAATCAACTAGCACGAGAACAGCTGTACAGCACAAGAACAGCCGTACCCAGCACGAGAGCCCGTACCCAGCACTGGTACAACAGCAGCCAGCACCAGCTCAGAAGCAGCTGAACCCACAGCAGCAGCGAGCACCAGCAAAGCTGATGCAAACATCTAAAAACATCGTGTGTGGCGTGAACAGTTAGAACAAGTGTTAAATTTAAGTGTGTACACAGTGTTAAAATTAAAGTTGCAGTAATTTTAGTGTACAATAGTTTTCATAAACTGTATTGTAGTACTCAACATACAGCAGAACTACTTTTAATCAACACAGTGCTAACGGCATAATACACTACAGTACGTATTTACTGTAGAGCATTCACAACTTCACGAAACTTCAAGATGGACATAACTCCAACAATAAGGTAAATTTATGAATTACAGCAGTATTTTTAGTAGAGAAGTAATATATAGGTACAGTATGTAATATGATAATGCATTTTTATTGTGTACAAGAAAAAAAAAAGACACTGACAAAACGCCTCCTGAAGGTCACCTCTTGCAACGAATCCAACGCAATTGCAACCTGAGACCGAACAGAGGTGAGAAACTCCCCCAAAGAAAAACAAGCAACACATCACATCGTACAGCGCTCGTTTGTGCCGACCGACCCCGCGAGGGGAAGAGAGGGTCCCAGCCCACTGAGCCAGCAGCCGGACCGTCAGTTAATAGGCTGAAAAATGGAAACAAGCATCAACAACCTTGCCAGGGAGCGTCCGGGGCTCTACCCAGAAAATGGTGTTTCATTACATTCAACGCTGGTTTTTTGTGGGGGAGCACCATTGGCTCCCTGGATGGAGCTAACTACCCAAAGATAAAGAATAAAAGGGACTTACTCGGGAGACGGCTATACAGCACAACTCATAACGAAGACGACACAACTGGCTGCAACCGCCAACCCAAGGCGACAAAAGACAGCCCAAGACATATTGTCAAACACAGCAGCCAAAGCTGCAAACTTACGAACATCATGGACACAAAGGTAGACCACAGGCTGGCTAGACTTGATAGCCCTGTGGACAATCTGAGAAACCCAAGCCCTGGAACGGGGAACAAAAGAAACCTGGTCAACCCAAAGTGCGCCCCTGGACACAGAACCCGAGGCGCGCAGGTAACGGCGTAAAGCCGCAACTGGACACAAAACATGATGCACCCCCAGCCTGACCAACCAAGCATCAATAACCCACGGACCCCTCTGGAAATCTGTTCTCATTTCTTCGCCAGAAGAGAAGGAGACGGCTGCACACGAACAAAACATCCACCTGGACCAAAAGAGCAAAAGCCTCTGCACCGTAGGAGAGCATAAAGCTTCCCAACATGACCCCCAGAAGTCAAAGCCAACAAGAACAAAGCCTTCTGGAAACAGTCTTGGACTGTAGGGGCCACCACAAACTGAGAGAAGAGAGAAAGGAGAGCACTCAGTCCAAAGCCCAGGACGGCTCAGGCGGCACTTGAGCAGGCCAGAGGTGGAAAAAGGCACGGGAAAGCTTGCGAAACGGAGCCAAAGTGACATCCATCCCGAACGCAAGCTGGAGAGGCCTCTGTCAGCACCGTACGATACGAGGCGACAGTATTCAGCACAAGATGCCTGTCCTGAAAGAGCCAAGAAAGAAAAAGCAACACAACACGATCCGAGACCGAAGACAACCTGATTAGTGAAAAGAAGTGGCGAAAAAGACCGCCAAGAGATTTCATACTGCTGCCGAGAAAACAACCGCAGGCGGAACGCCATTAGAAAAGCCACCTAGTCACCATACAGATGGTGATACACCCGTGTCAGAAACTCTAGAGGCGAAACATGGAAGAGTAGAGTAAACCAGCAAGGTACCTCACCGGCCTGATTTGCTGAAAGAGGAGGAGCTGCAGAAAATGCACCAGGTTCGGACACCGAGCAAGCAGTGCCTGAAACCAAGACTGGGCCGGCCACCATGGGCCATAAGGAGAACCCTTCCCCGATAGGACTCGAGCTGAGTCAGAACCCAAAGCAACAGCTGTACCAGGGGGGAAGAGATACAGGTAACTCCACCTCGACCAGTCTTGCCAAAAAGTGTCTCCTGCGATGGCCTCGTAGTCGGGGAAGGGCGCCACATAGATGGGGAAACACCTCAACCACGCCGACGCAAAGAGGTCCACCTCCGGGGGGGGTTGGCCATTCGGCAGAGCCAACAGAACGAGTCGGTGTCAACCGTCCATTCTGTGAACAGGGGAATGAACCATGACAGGCCATCCTCAAGGATGTTGGACACACTCCAGATATGAACCGCAGGAGAGTTAAACCCCGAGAACTCAGCAGAAGAGCCACTCGAAGCGACCAGCCCCAAAGAGCCACGGAAAGCCGAGACCCCCTGTGGTTCAGGCAATGAACCACCGAAGTGCAGTTCGAATGGAGCTTGATCGTAGAGCCGAATCTGACGCAGCATAAGCCACACTGCCACAAATTCCCACACCAAACTTTGAGCCCAACGGAAGGACGGAGCCCACCGCCCGTGGCCCTCTTTAACTTATTTTGGGTTATGTAGCTCCAGGGAGCTGAAAGGGCTCCCCACAGAAAACTAACATTTAATGAAATAAAATGCCATTTTTCTGGGGCTCCCTGGCACTCACCCTCCCTCTAGTCAGCAATTTGCCTCCCTCCCTCTAGTCAGTTGCTTTTATTTTTTATTTTTTTTTTTTGGGGGGGGGGGAAGGGATCCGGGGCTCCCTCCTCCTCCTAGGGAAGGGCTGAGCAGGCAAGCGGCAGCGGTGTGTGATGTTTGCTTGTTTGCTCGTTTTCTTGAGAGTTCGGGGAGTCCTGCCTCCCTGTTCGCTCTTTTGTTGTAATTTTCTTACCAAGAGAGGATGGTCTTGTTATGCCTACCTTTCTGGGTGCCTAACCCAGGTCAATGGCAGGCAAGAAATACCCCCCAACCACAGAGAAGGGGAAGGGGGGGTGTTCCAGAGGCCATTGCTCCCTTGCCTCTCTGAGGGGGACCGGGTTCTGGCTCATGGTCCCTGGTAGGCTGAACTCCATTGACTAATGCCCTAGACTAATATATCGCATATCAGTTCGATAGCTCCAGGGAGCCAAAGGGGCTCCTCACAGAAATGGGGACCAAGCTAAACCAGATTTCAATCAAACTTTTCATCATCAGCAGAAATTCACATTTAAGAATACTGGACTGTGAGCTCGACATGCAATTCCTCCATTACCTATTATTTATATTTTTTCTAACTACAGCAGCACAAATTTGAAATAGTGTTTTAACTTATACACTCCTATCATCATTATTTTATTTTATTTGTTCAAAGAACCATTTAAAACGTTCAAACATAACCAATTTTGATATGCCATTCAAATTATAAAGATTTGTTCCAACTATGTGAAAATCTTGTATACACAACTAAATTACTTGTGGGCTTCCTTCTTGCAATGAGTACAAAACCTCTCATAGCTGCTGCTCTTTGGTATATTTTATAAATGCCTCTTATTAACATTGCCTGTCACACATGCTGCTCAAAATGCTTTTAGTTTCAAGTACGGGCATGAGGTATAAGAGCTTTTGATAATGTGGTAATGCTCATGCACACAGCTAATATTTATACAGTACCAGTAGCTGCAAAAATAATATTACAAAAAATAAGGAACACGTTCTTGAACAATACCTGGATGCACTCTCTTCAAATTGACATTATCATCTATAAAAAAAACTACGTGAGTATTTTCTATCTATTCTAAGGTGCACATGGGTGAAAATCAATACTACATTTAAAACTTCTCAAAACTTGAAGGAACAAGCAAGGAAGCAAAGCTTCATTATTTATCCCACATTCACTGAATGAAGATTTGCCTTCAAACATCCTACCGAGCGATCCTTGAAACTTTCTAGGATCAATGCCAGAGCTAAATTCTTGTGATGACCAAACCAAACATCAGAAGATGGAGAAACAACAACATTTCGGTCCATCCTGGACCATTATCAACTTGAGTAGTTCACACACAACTCAATAATGGTCCAGGCCGGAGCGAAATGTTGTTGTTGTTTCTCCAACTTCTGATTTGTGGCTTGGTAATCATATCTTCAGCCACATTATTATAACTCCTCATCTGCCTAAATTATTGTTTTATCTTAATTAAAGTCAAGATGCTTGTAATATAGAATAAAAAAAAGTTTGCAGAAATATTATGAAGAAATACTGTAAACTCTCTCATGCTCTGAATTTTATGATCAACCAAGAATTTGTATGTAAATGCCAACATTTCCTCAAGAGTCAAGACAATAAAAAAATATTAAAATTGCTAAGTATTAATAATAAGCCCATTATGAGTGAATTAGAAAAAAAAACTTTTATCTTCTTAAAATGCACTTCCATTTATACATTCAAATTTCAGTAAATCATGCATGATCTTAATACCATTCCCAAATTTCCTTCAAGCTTTGAAAATCTCTGTAATGGTGGTAACACTTTGGATAAGCAACAGTTGGCCTACAGGGTTACAGCACAGGAATTATCAAGCAAATTAAAATATTCATGGCAAACTAATCAAGCCACGAAGTACGTACACAAAGTGAATACCTTTTCAACTTGAACAATTGGCTGGGATCTCCATTTACCGAGCTGCGGGGTGAGAGGATATTTGCATGATGTATCCTACACTTGAAAATACAAGCCTCTCCTAATGTATGATGTATCCTACACTTGAAAATACAAGCCTCTCCTAGTGCATGATGTATCCTACACTTGAAAATACAAGCTCTCCTAATGTATGATGTATCCTACACTTGAAAATACAAGCCTCTCCTAGTGCATGATGTATCCTACACTTGAAAATACAAGCCTCTCCTAATGTATGATGTATCCTACACTTGAAAATACAAGCTCTCCTAGTGCATGATGTATCCTACACTTGAAAATACAAGCCTCTCCTAGTGCATGATGTATCCTACACTTGAAAATACAAGCCTCTCCTAGTGCATGATGTATCCTACACTTGAAAATACAAGCCTCTCCTAGTGCATGATGTATCCTACACTTGAAAATACAAGCCTCTCCTATGGCATGATGTATCCTACACTTGGAAAAATAAGCCTCTCCTAGTGCATGATGTATCCTACACTTGAAAATACAAGCCTCTCCTAGTGCATGATGTATCCTACACTTGGAAATATAAGCCTCTCCTAGTGCATGATGTATCCTACACTTGAAAATACAAGCCTCTCCTAGTGCATGATGTATCCTACACTTGGAAATATAAGCCTCTCCTAGTGCATGATGTATCCTACACTTGAAAATACAAGCCTCTCCTAATGTATGATGTATCCTACACTTGGAAATATAAGCCTCTCCTAGTGCATGATGTATCCTACACTTGGAAATATAAGCCTCTCCTAGTGCATGATGTATCCTACACTTGGAATACAAGCCTCTCCTAGTGCATGATGTATGCTACACTTGGAAATATAAGCCTCTCCTTAGTCAGGTTTTTATGTCTAGGCAAGATATTATAAGTTGTCTACATAGCAACTATTTCTTGCATATTTGTCAATGATTGTACTGGCCATGCTAAAAACTATCATCAACAACAGTTGAACTTTTAATTGAAGATGAATCTATGTAACTTCCCAAGCTTAACACTACAGGCTCTATAAAAGGCCAAGTGCTTTTGAATTCAAACTATTAAGGGGTGTAACTATTAATGGGGGTAAACAACTGGAAAGGATACAAGGTAATATATATCAGACATTATAAACTACAGTACCTATCTGAAATTTAAGAGCATGAAGGGAATTTTGTTCTGGCTTGAATGAACTGAAGAAGTTTTACCACTATTAAATTCAGATATTGAAAATAATGTCAATAAAATAAAATATTAATGATACTCAGCACAGATGAAATTATATTCTAATTGTTATTGAGTACTTAAGAATTGAAAATGTGGGTGACATAGCATGCATGGCACAGAAGAAAGTATGTACAGAAAAGATGATGAACATCATGTACAATGAAATCACAAGAACATGACGAATCTGTGAATAAATACCAAGGTCATTCAATGGCATGTGAACTACTAACAGGACATCTGGGTCCCTTTGGTAATGTGTGCGCGCATGAAGGAATTCAACGACACAAGTTGGATTCCATTGAATGGCCTTAATGTTAATTCATGGACACAATATTGCGCGACTTGGCAGATGCAATGATGATCCCATTGCATAGAATTAAAAATAAATAAATCACTTCATCAATGTAGTAATGACAGGAGTAGGTCTTTTCTGCACATTTATGAGGAACTTAATTGTAGGTCTTAATCTGTAAGATGTGAATTAGTCCTTCGTAAATGAATAGTAAGGATGATTTAGAGATGAAAGATTATGATGAGATCAGAGGAAATTTAAGACACGAAAGCATGGTCCCTTTGTAGATGTCACTTTGTAAAACTTATTAATTACTGTCCCAGAACTAAATCTTTCAAATACATAAAAAAATATATAATGAATGGAACTGCTAAATGTTGAAAACACACAAAAGCATTTTCTAAGTTTAAACAGAATATGTGCATATATATAATACATGAAGATGTGCTACTGGAAATTCTACTTCTGATGACACTGCATAGTCTTTTGTAAATAACCTTACAGGAAAAAATTAAAAATCATTACACTTCAGGTAATGAACTGGATAAGCAGTTCTGTTCATCTGTACACCTTAGATAGTGACTTAAATTACCTGATATTATATGAAGTAATGGAAGTTTAAGGTATCAAATGGATATATGATAAAGAGTTGCATGAGGGTCTTCAGAAAACCAGTGTTCAATGTACTGAAAAGCCATTTTTTGGGTAGAGCCTCGGAGGCTCCCTGGAGCTATTAGATGGATATTAGCTAACATTAGTACTGGGCTTGAGTTATATGTTGTTGTCATGCCTACTGGAGACCACTAGCCAGAACATGGTCCCCTCAGAGAGAGGCAAATGGAGCAATGGCTTATGAAACTCACATGTATGAAAGTATTCATATCTGTCATTGACCGGGGTTGAGCACCCAGAAAAGCAAGCGCTTCAAAACAGACCCCTCCTGGTAGAAACATTGTAACATGAGACCAAACAAAGGCAAACTATCCATCAAAGAAAAACAAGCAAACAAGGAACATGTCATCACACCGCGTGCTGCTCATTCGCGCTGATCCCCCCCCCCCCCATAGGAAGGGAAGAGGGGGTCCCAGCCCACTGAGTCGGCAGCTGGACTGTCAGTTTGGAGGCTGAAAAAATGGAAGCAAAAACTGCCGATCAGGGGAAGGGAGGGTGCCAGGGGAGGGGGGGGGGGTCCCTGGCACCATTTCAGTACATTCAACATTGGTTTTCTGTGGGGAAGCTCCCTGGAGCTAACTACCAAAACAGAAAGAATAAAAGGGACTTGCCCAGGAGGCAGCTGCACCGAACAACTCATAACAAAGATGAGACAACTGGCTGCAACTGCTGACCCAAGGTGACAAAAGACCGCTGGGGTGGGAGCCGACCCCATATCAAATTTGTACAAGGAAAGGGGGTATGAAAACCTCGGACCTTGCAACAGCAGATCCCGACCCAGAGGCATTAAAACCCAGGCAGGATCGAAAGGGGCCCAAGTGCCCCAGGCCACCTGCCCCCTCTCCCCCCACAGCCCCGGCCCAGAATGCACCAAACTAGGATCTGGGCAGAGCCGTGTCCTCAATGTCCTCCACCTTCGAAGGAAAGACAGAGTCCAAGGGAAAGGCATCCAAGACAGGGACCGGCTGGAAGGATCCAGAAACCTCGATGGGAGGAATCCTCCATCCCTGATTTGAATGGGGCAACCCCCGGAGTCGCGAGGAGGAGGGTGCACCACACCAACAAGGGGAGAACAGAAGGGTGCGGACTGAACCAAGGTCGAAGTGACATACGCCGCCAAGTCTGGGTCCCTATAACAAAAACAGGACAGCCCCGGGGTATTTGAGTGGGCAACCAATCGTGTTCATTCAGCAACCTAAACCTAGCATGCAACATGCGAGCCACTTTACCCCTAACCTCAGCTGTAGCAGTATGGGTAAATTGGAGCACAAGCAGAGAACAAGTCTCACAAGACTCCGGGTCGAAGGTGTCATCGAGCCAACAAGCAGCATGGAGGTAATACAGGTGGTGATTGTCACCCTGAGACAGAGGCAACTAGCACCCTTCAAACTTGCAAAAGGCGAGATGGTGCTTGGAAGCCTCATCCATCATGGTCAAAAAGGCACGACAGGAATTTCCAGGGCCCGCAGGGAGGTGTGTTCCTATGGGAAGCCCAGGTGCTGGACTGCCAAAGTCGGTTGAGTCCCCGTAATTGATCCAGGCAAACTGGCCTCTGTGAGATGACGCAAAGAGGACCGCCCTACTGAACCTAGGTAGCACCTAATATGAACTGTGGCAGACTCCCAACGGGTAATAAAGCAAACTAAAGATTGAAAAAGAACTCCGAGGAAGCACTACAACTCAGGGGACCAGAAAGAGTCACGGTCTACCTTGAGGTGTTTTCAGGGCTTAGCGTCCTTGCGGCACAGTTGTCGACCAGGCCTCTTCGTTGCTGGACTGGTCAACCAGGCTGTTGGATGCGGTTGCTCGCAGCCCGACTATGAATCACAGCCTGGTTGATCAGGTATCCTTTGGAGGTGCTTATCCAGTTCTCTCTTAAACACTGTGAAGGGGGTCGGCCAGTTATGCCCCTTATGTGTAGTGGAAGCGTGTTGAACAGTCTCGGGCCTCTGATGTTGATAGAGTTATCTCTCAGAGCACCTATTGCATCTCTGCTCTTCAGCGGGGGTATTCTGCACATCCTGTCATGCTTTCTGGTCTTATGTGATGTATTTCTGTGTGCAGGTTTGGGACCAGCTCCTCTACTATTTTCCATGTGTAAATTATTATGTATCTCTCCCGCCTGCGCTCAAGAGAATACAGATTTAGGCATTTAGGCAGATTTAGTCGGTTCCAGTAGGTTAGATGTTTTACCGAGTGGATTCTAGCAGTAAAGGATCTCTGCACAATCTCCAGGTCAGCAATTTCTCTGGCTTTGAAAGGGGCTGTCATTGGGCAGCAGTACTCCACTCTAGAGAGCACTAGCATCTTGAAGAGTATCATCATTGGTATAGTATCTCTAGTTTGAAAAGTTTTAGTTATCCAACCTGTCCTTTTTCTTGCAGTTATGATGGCTACTTTATTGTGTTCTTTAAAGGTAAGGTCTTCCGACATAAGTACACCCAAATCCTTTACATTGCTTTTTTGTTCTATGGTATGATTTGACTGCATTTTTGTGCATGGTTTCTGCTTTTATATTTTCATTTCTTCTGTAGTGCAAGAGCTGGAACTTTGTTGTCTACTCTCATAGAAATCCTAGTGTCATCTGCAAAGAATGATACAGTGCTATAGACTTTGTCCTTGTCTATGTCCGATATGAGGCTGAGATAAAGTACTGGAGAAAGCACAATTTCCTGGGGGACTGAGCTCTTCACGGTTGATGGTCCGAATTTTATTTTGTTGGCGATTTCACACTGGGTTATATTAGTCAAGAAATTGTAGATCTATCTGCCTATTTTTCTGGTAATTATTTTTGCATGCATTTTGTATGCAATAACACCATGGTCACATTTGTCAAAGGCTTTTGCAAAATCTATGTAAATTGTATCAGCGTTTTGCTTGTCTTCCATGGCATCCAAGGCCATGTCATAGTGGTTCAGCAACTGTGATAGGCAAGAGCACCCTGTTCTGAATCCATGTTGTCCAGGGTTATGGAGATGCAGTATTCCATGTGTTTTGTGATTTTATTTCTTAGCACACTCTCAAAGATTTTTATGATGTATGATGTTAGTGCTATCAGTTTGTAATTTTTTGTCTCTGCCTTATTTTCTTTTTTTTATAGAATGGTGCTATCTCATCTGTTTTTAGTATGTAATGGATAATGCCAGTATCTAGGCCTCCAAAGAATGTGAAGGGCCTGTGATAGTGGTTTTTTACAGTTCTTGATGAATGTGGAGTTCCAGGAATCGGAGCCTGGTGCAGAGTGCATAGGCATACTGTCCACGGCTTCTTCAAAATCAAGTGGGGATAGGGTGACATCTGATATATGGTTTGATGATGGCATCACATCCATGAAAAATTCATTTGGATTATCAATCTTTAATGTGTTTAGTGGCTAACTGAAAACATAGATGTACCGATTCCTCAGTAATTCGCTCATTTCCTTGTTGTCATCGGTGAAAGTTCCATCTCCCTTTTGCAGGGGCCCGATACTAGATGTAGTTTTTTATCTCGATTTTGCATAGGAGAAAAAATATTTTAGATTTCTCTCTTTCACTGATGGCCTTTTGCTCTCTTTGTCTCTTGGATTTTGTACGATTCTTGTAGCTTTAGTTCAATTGTTTCTATTTCTCTACCTAGCCTTCTTCGTTGTTCTTGAGATAGGGTGTGACTCAAGTTGTTCCGCGATTCGTTTTCTTCGCCTATAGAGGGAACGCCGTTCCCGTTCCAGTCTGCATATCTCCCTCTTTTTTTTCGTAGGGGTATGCAGTGTCAGCACATTTCTAGAGCTACTGAGTTTGAGGCCGCTGCGATTATGCAAACTGGGCAGCCCAGCATGCCCCAACCAGCAACTAACCACCCAGGGCCAAACGAAAGTACTGGGACCTAAGCTGACCCCAAGGATGAGGTAGCAAACTAAGCAGTCACTACCCCTATGGGTATGGGGAGCCGAAGGATCCAGAGCAGAGAACTTTGAAACCCAAAGGGTGTACTCATAGGGCGCTTAGGGAAGGGAGCCCTAAGCGCATGCAGCCCTCGGCACAAACTCCTGGCAACTCCCAGCACACAGAAGGAACACCAGCAGGATGAAGCCACTCTGGTAATCGAGGCCAGAGCAGGCGCGTCCACCCCGTATAGCTTTAACCAACAAACTGACTCTCTGGCTGCCGGCTCAGTGGGCTGAGACCCCCTCTCCCCCTCCTGGGGGTGGGGGTCGGTTGGGGGGAGGGGGGTCTGTGCGAATGAGCGGTATGCGGTGTGATGACACGTTCCTTGTTTGCTTGTTTATCTTTGGGGAAGTTTTTTGCTCTGTTCGGTCTTAGATAGCAATATTTCTACCAGGAGGGATCTGTTTTGAAGCGCCTACCTTTCTGGGTGCTCAATCCCGGTCAATGGCAAACATGAATACTTCGTACATATGAGTTTCATAGGCCATTACTCCCTTCGCCTCTCTCTGGGGGGACCATGTTCTGGCTAGTGGTCTCAGGTAGGCATGACAACACCATATGACTCAAGCCCAGTAATAATATTAGCTAATATCAGCCCAATAGCTCCAGGGAGCTGATGGGGCTCCCACACAGAAATATAAAAAGTATCTTCACATGGTTTAAAACAGACATTCAGTAACAAAACTTAAGAGATGTAAATCTTGTTAACAAATTAATTTAGAAGAAAACTGATAATATATTTTGGCCTTGATATGTAAAGAATATGATAAGAATGTAAAATGTTTTATTAATCCTATAACTTCCCAAGATGCTGAAAAACAAAAATATGATAGAAAAAATGATTAGCAACAGAAACAAAAATACAGATATAGAGTGGAATTAGAGTAGAAAGATAAAGACTTGTGAGCAGAGCAAAACAAATAAAGAACTATTATACAGATTAACAGGTAAATGATATACTGATCATATTCAGGTCTGTGACCAAGTTGCTTCTCATGATCAGGTAACTGACAAATTGTATATAAAACTACTGTAAATAATAATAGTTATCACAAGAATATACTGTATGTATTTCTTACTGACTAAATCAACCTTTTATTCAGTTTGTAATATTCATATACAAAACAATTGTAATATACCTCTCCTTAATTACATTTAATATTCGATTCATGGCACTCAAATGATCTCTTATAAATAACTACATATTGTTTACCTTCATAAGTAAAATATCAACTTTATGTTCTCCATAAGTACTAACTGACCTCTAGTAATCCTAAGTTTTCTATGTCTATTTTAGAAGTTTATACAATGAAATAACCACAATTTCGGGTCTGACCTCTTAAGAGATGGAGCTATATCATCCACAGCGGAGTTGGTCTCACTGGCCAAGCGAAGTGCAAGCTCGTGGTCCCTCCGCTCCTGCTCCTCTTGTTGAGCTAGGTGTTCCGACTCTGCTTCCTCCTTGGCCAGTTGAATCTGAACATAAACAATGTATATGTGATCAAAAGTCACCAATTAAATTTCTTGTAGAGCTTTTGCAGCATCAATAGGAAGCAAAAGTATTAAATATGGAATATTTTGAAGTAACACTGGGTTTGGTTCCTTATATGCCAGCATTGCTTCACTATTTTCCATGACTAAATATGGTCTTTTCCCATGACTTCACCTGGTAATACAATAATGCACAATTAATACAATAACAATTAACTGATTATAGTTAAACAGATATATAACAGATTTTAATAAATAGCAAATGTAGTTTAAGTAGATGAAAAATGCATGAAATCTAAGTCATGTATGGAAGCAAAATTAAAGTATTTAAGTTTCAAGTCAAAGCAATGAGGCATTTGAGATATTAAATGGAAACTTTGCAGATGAATTAGAAAAAATTATTATATAACCATAGAATATTTCTATAACAAAAATGTATAATAATACCAAGAGTTAGGATGACAACTAACCTGCAAGGCTTCAGCAGCACGACGGTCCTCTTCCTCCTGCTTGCGACGTAGCACCTCTTCTTGCTTACGCCGAGCTTCCATTTCAGCTTTCCTAAAATGAAAAGTTATGATGAATATGGAAAAATAAAATGATGCATAATGAGTTTATACACATTTTATGTTGATATGTATATTTGTAAGAAAAGAACATTGATTATAGTATTGAAATGTTTGGAAATGAATGGTATTGTGAATAGTACAACTAAAGATAAAACAGTGTCAGATGTGCAATGCATTGCAAAGTTAAATAATTTTATCAACACATTACTAAGCCCATGAAAGGAAAGTGAGGGGACTCGGGATGTTTTTTCAAGATGGGAGATAGTCACTTGAGGTCTGAGGAAGCAAACGTGTGCCCCTTTGTATGCATGGAATTTTTCGATTATTATGATATACTGTACAATCATCATCATATGTCGACTAGCTCAGTTTCTGGCGAACGAGTTTTTCAGCCTGTGCAGCACAGTGGTTAAAGGTAACACAGTTGTTAAATAATTTATGACATATTAGGTGTGGGTTATGTATGCTGGGTAAGGTGGTGAGATGATGTGAGCTTCCTCCATAACTGCCAGCGTATATCGTAAGCAATTTTTCGTAAATTTGTGATAACAGACTGTGATAACGCTGCATGTTTTCAATATTTTATTATTAGTAACACAATTAATTATCATAATGGGGCTTGTTTTCAAAATTTTATTATTAGCAAAAAATTTTTGTGCCTAGTGAACTTATTCAATATGCTCGTCCGGCTCCCTAGCCTATGATGCTTGGTCTCCCATCCGTAATACAGCCAAATTAGATACAGGGGAATTTTTTTATACATTTAAAAATAAAAAAGCGAGTCTCATACGCTGGCAAATATTGTACTTACTTCTTTCTAATTTCTTCCTCCTCTTTTCTCTTCCTCTCCTCTTCCTCTTTTTTCTTCCTCTCCCTCTCCATCTCGTCCTGAATGCGACGGAGTCTCTCCTGTTCATCGGCATTCTTTTGCTGGGTAAGCTTTTTATGCAAAACACTCAGCTCAGCATTCATAGAGTTAACAAGCCCATTAACCTCCTTATCAATTTGCTCGCGGGTCATAATAGTTGCCTGTTGGATAAGAAAATGAACAATATGTTCACTACTAAAAAAAAATAAAAAAAAAAAAAAAAATAAAAAAAAAACAGCGTTGAATGCAATGAAACCCCATTTTCTGGGCGAGACCCTGAGGCTCCCCGGAGATATCCAGGCCGATATGCTGATGTCAGACTCTGGCATCAGTTATGTGTATGGAGTTCTGTGGGCCTACCGGGGACCACGAGCCAGAACCTGGCCCCCTCAGAGAGGCAAGGGGAGCAATGGCCTATAGAAGCTCCCGTGTGGTTGGAAGCATTCTACGTCTGCCATCGACCGGGTCAGGCACCCAGAAAGGTAAGCATTCCAAAGCAAACCCCTATTCTGGTGAAAATATTGCTACCAAAAGCCGATCAAGTGGATAGAACTCCCCAAACAAAAAAACAAGCAAACTAGTATGACGTCACCCGTTGCCGTGTCGCCGTCTGCACAGTTCCCCAATCCATCCACGGAAGGGGGAAGGTGGAGCCCCAGCCAGGGAGCATCCGGGGCACAACCAGAAAATGGCGTTTCATTTCATTCAACGCTGGTTTTCTGTGGGGGAGACCAATCGGTTTCCTGGAGCTACATAACCAAAGACAGGGAAAAAGAGGGACGTACCCGGGAGGTGCCTGCCACACACTCCTCAACACGAAATTGAGACAACGGGCTGCAACCTGTGACCCAAAACAACCCAGGAACGCCCAGGAGCAGGAAAGTTAACCAAATAACAGATGGCCAGGACCCTGTTCAACCCAAAGTGCATCCCCAGCCACCAAAGCCAGAGCATGCAGATAACGGTGAAGAGCTGCAACTGGACACAACACATGATGTACCCCTGGCCTGGCCAATCAAGCATCAATGACACAGGATCCTTCCGGAAAGCAGCTGTCTCATTCTTCACCAGAAAAGATGGAGAAAGCTGCAACTGAACAAACCTACTACCAGGACCGAAAGAGCAGAAACTACTGTGCCGGAGGAGAGCATGAAGCTCACCGACCCGACCCCCAGAGGCCAATGCCAACAAAAACAGAACCTTGTACAAACAATCTTGAACCAAAGGGGCCACCATAAATCAAGAAGAGGAAAGATAGGAGAGCAACCTGTCTAAGGACCAGGATGACTAAGGCGGTACATGAGCAGGCCGGAGGGAAAATGAAGCACAAGAAAGCTTACGGAACGGGGTCAAAAGTGACATCCACCACGAACGCAGGCTGGATTGGCTCCGACCAGTACCGTACAATACGAGGCGACAGTATTAGGCATCAAATGAAGGTACTGAAAAAGCAAAGATAGAAAGGACGCTTCTGGCTCCAAAAACAGCCAGAAGCGGAACCGCAGCCGCAACAGCGTCGCAGGAGGGAGAGACAAGAAAGCAGTCAGAGAGTCCCACACCAGACCCAGCCAGGTCCGAACCTGAGAAGGAACCAAAAGGGGCTTCCTCCAGTTCACTATGAACCCAAACCCAGCGAGCTGGGAAAAAACCGTATTCCTGGCGAGCAGACACGCAGACTGGCTCGGAACCCACACCAGCTAGAACCTGAACCCCTAACAAAAGCAAACAGGTCACCACAACCCAGTAAGGCGTATGAACACTCGAGGTGCCAGATTCAAGTCGAATGGAAAGCAACGAAAGCGGTAAGCTTGTTGCCCCACAACAAAACCAAGCCAGTCACTGAACCCCAGATGAATCGGGACGTGTACAATAAAATTATAAAACCCATACACGTCCCAGAGGTCCAGAGACACCATCCAGGCACCTGGCGCCAAAAGCAGCCGGACCCGAGACAGAGTGGTCATCCAAAAGGAAGGGCAAAAGACCCAGGGATTCAGACTAGACAAGTCCAGTGTGAATCACAAATCCGCACAGTCCCATTTCTGAACTGAAAACAAGTGGGAAACCCACCTGAAGGACGTTGTCGTTTCGACCACACCCAAGCGAACCCACTCCCGGTTGACCTGACAGAGCACAGGAAAAGAGGCCTGCCCTGCCAGCCCCGATATCCCTGAAGGAGGAGGAGTGACCCAACGCCACCACAGGTCAGAGGAAACGAGCCGAAATGCCCACGAATCGTGGGACCAGGCGAGAGCAAACCTCCCCAGCTGAACCCCCAAGGGTGGACAATCAACAAGCAGCGACAGAACCACACAGAGGTAGCTGCTCCTGAACGGCTCATGGAAGATAACCCTGAGGCTGCAAAGGCAGCACTTACAGAGCACCTAGGGAAGGCAGCACTTACAGAGCACCTAGGGAAGGCAGCACTTACAGAGCACCTAGGGAAGGCAGCACTTACAGAGCACCTAGGGAAGGCAGCACTTACAGAGCACCTAGGGAAGGCAGCCCTAGGTGCATGCAGCCCCAGTACTCTTGTGTTACATCTGGTTCACACACCACCAAAACAGAGCAACAACACCACACTGCAGCACTGCGCAAAGAGTGGAGCCAGAGCGATCGACCGTCACCAACACAACAGCCTCTTGAACTGAGGAGAGTTGCCGGTGTGGAGGTCTGGGACCCCCCCCCCCCTGTCCCCCTCCCAGGGGGGGGGGGTGCGCAGACGGAGGATGCGCGGCGTTTGTGGTGACGTCATACTTGTTTCCTTGGTTTTGAATGGGGAGTTCTGTTGCTAGTTTGGCTTTTGATTTGCAATTTATCTGATGAGCAGTAGTTTGTTTTGGAATTCCTACCTTTCTTGGTGCCTGATCTGGTAGATGGCAGACAAAGACTGCTTCCAATTACATGGGGGTGTCTTTAGGCTATTGCTCCTCGTGCCTCTCTTGAGGGGGGCCAGGTTCTGGCTCTGGTCCCCGGTAGGCCTAGAACTCCTTCAACTGACTGTTGCCACGGTCTAATATATACACATCAGCTCGGTATAGCTCCGGGGAACCGAAGGGGCTCTCCACAGAAAAAAGCATTATGTAGCAGAAACACAATGGTATTGAAACTTATTAAGAAATACAGTTCTGCTAATATAGAATGGTATCAGTAGTTATTACATCTTCAGTAATGTCTGATGGAAGAGATGACCTGTACAATAAATTCCCCATGAACCCTTAGTTCAACAACTAGCCGCTTGGTGTTAGTGGTGCCATTGGAATACTGATCAGCTGTTGTAAATGGCGAGTTGTATGGCTATGCTTTCTACTACTGTAATGTATTATGTGTTAACCATTGTGATATTATATCATTTTGTGGTGAAATTTGTTTTACCAATAATTTAGACAATTCTAAGACACTTTTTTTGAAACAAGTGATATGCAAGGAGCGTTAGGTTGGGCATTTCACTTGTTTATCTCTCGGTGGTAAAGGTTCACATTTTATGATTGACAGCAAGTCGACCCCTGGTTTTGGAGAGAGAGACTTTTAGGCTTTAAATGTCAACTTATACGCTGGCACATGCAGTATTTATGGTCGTGGAACTTTTTTACAGGTAAACATGACAAGAAAAATTATAGTCAAGAAATTGAAATACATGAAGTGTGACATCCCAACAACTCTCCAGTGGTAAACCATAATCATACTAATAATAAATAATCATACAGTACTGTAATATGTTAAGAATGGCACCTCTAAATACAATGTTAGTGCCTTTCAATGGAAAAGCAGTATAGAACCTACTTAGCAGTAGATAAATGCAACAGATTAAATCCTACCTGTATTTTCCTGATGGTAGCATCCATGTTAGCCTCCAGCTTTTTAACTACTGCTAATGATGAATCCTTTTCTTTTTTTAGTTGATTAACAATTCCCAACATTTGTTGCAACTGACCCTGTGGATTGAAGCAATATCAAGCATTAAAATACAATGAAATTACAATGAATGCATGAGCAATATCTTGTCATATACCCATATCAACGATACATTTTCACCTATTTTATCGTGATCATTATATGTGGTACCACACACATTTACGGGAAATAATTAGTTTAAATATTCAACATTAGTATATCCCAAAGTAATCAATTTCAGGCAAATATACCTCAATGCAATTTTCCATTATCTATTATCTATAAAAAATATTCTGTGGAACAAAATGAAACTAATGTGTTTTTAAATACAGTATAACATATTAACACTTAGATGGCAGCTATGGTGTGTACTGTAGGTGAACAGGGTTTTATTTTAGTTTACAATAATGAGGTACAAGGTAAGGCATAGCTAAAGCTAATTAAGTTCTCAAACTTAGTGATCAAGTTGATCATTAAAATTTAAGATAAATTGTCTAAAACTGACTAAAATACAAAGGAAGACCTGACCTATGACTGACTATAATTACTTACAAGGAGTCAACTTCTGAAACTGAACCTGCAGAAGCCTATGACTAATTATTGATATAAATTAATCTTACACCATACCTGTAGACTCTTAATCTTCATTACACCCAAGTAGCGAGGTCGGTGCTTTTTCCTGGCATTATACATTTTCACATTCTTTTGGATAATTATAAGCTGTTCACGGCGATATAGGATCTTATTTTTCACTGAAAATTAAAAAATAATATGGTCTTAATATATACTAAGGTCTAATTCAATACAGGTTATCTTATTAAAATATCTTTAAGCTCATTGTGAATACAACAATAAAGAAATGGCAGTTTGTTAGCAATTTTAAAAACAAATTCCCATTACAAAATTCAATACAAACAACACGAAGTTTACCAAGACATTTAAGTATACTGTAACTTGAATTACTAAGTATAAAACAAACATTGTTTCAATGTATTAGCATTTATGTTGAAAAACAAAAAATCCAGTAATAGTTTAAAAAAATAAGCTCTGTGTAACTAACATTTTATGACAGAGAGGGCACACCACTGGGACTTCTTCCATCGTGATTGCATGAGCCATTTCTTCACCTTAGAGACCAGGAGTTGAAGGTTTTCTGGATCGCTCTTCATCAACTGATCAAATTCGGCAAACTTGCCTGGCCGGAAGAATACCTTAGTCATACCAAATTTGAAATCTTTTTCGTCTAGACCAAGTGCCTTGAAGAGCGACTGGAAGAAAAAAAGTGTAAATAATGTAAGTTTACAGTGTCTGGGGTTAATTGTGTACACCACTGATTTAGGGTGAAAATCTCTGCAGCATTGTGTGAAATCAATCTCGAGTCCTGGGTTACTCTAGGCTCATGCATTACCAATTAGACCATGATTAAGTTCATCACAGTCCAGTTGGTAATGGTTACAGCTGGGATTCAACGCCAAGGCTAAAAGGCCCACTCCACTTTCCATTACTAATACTGTTAATATTATACTTATAGAAATGCACTTCATTTCTATCTAACAAGTATATACACTAATTGCTGTTTCAGGCAGAATTATTATCTATAAAATTTTATTCTTCCATTTCATACATTCCAGAAAACATTAATAGCAACCTTATATATGACATACCTTACAGAAGAGTCGGGGATCTAGCCTGGCAAGCTCTGCTGGTAGATACTTTTTGTACATACTGTAGAGGTCATGGAAAGGTGCACGGGATGGGTAGCCCTGCTGCATGAGCTCTAGTACTGAAGTCATTCCGGAGCATTGAAGCTGCGACAGAATTGGTCCTCCTTCAAATTCGTGATCCACCATCTTGACGTTAGGCTTGATGCATCGAATGAAGTTGGTTCCCTAAAGGAAAAATATATCCATTTTATCAAAGCTTCACTTAATTAAGAGCTGAATTATTTTTACTACATTTTAACGTCACAAACCCTTTTTCCATATAGTAAGTTTAATAATATAAGATGTAAATGATAACTATTACCTTGGTTGGTAATAATTGTGGTAAAATTCAGCCTCTGAATATGAAGAACTCTTTTCTAAGCAAGGCTCTATGATCCTCACTTGTGCTGGCACAAGCTGGAGAAGGAGTGAAAGGTGGGTTATCTCATGTCCCATGGGGGTATATATTTGGGTGACTATTGCCTTCCACTACCTGGCTCTTTCTGCTCCCCCCATAGCTGCATGCACAATTTTGTTTCCTTTCTCTTAGTGGAGGTATGTGGCTCTTGATTTAGAGCCTTGGTCACCTGGTTATGACCAAAGGATAGATTTTGCTTTGTGGCAGGGCTGGGCACGGTACTGGTACATACCTCTGCTTACCTGGGTTGCTGTACAAGACCTTGTTAGAGGATTTATTTTGTTCCCATTTAACAATACTTCGGCACTAGTTCCCAAAGCAGCAGACACATTTATTAAGGCTGTGGAATGTATATCCACTTTCTTAATCTGACTACAGTATAATGTTTCTTCAAGTTTGGTTCACTATACTATTGGTGGTTGCAGATGATGAGTCACAATAACGTGGCTGAAATATGTTGACCAGACCACACACTAGAAGGTGAAGGAATGACGACGTTTTGGTCCGTCCTGGACCATTCTCAAGTCGATTGTGACATTCTCACAATCGACTTGAAAATGGTCCAGGACCACTGGTGTTTATTGATGTTCTAATATGCCAAAGATTATCCCAGTCTCACATCACTGTGGCTGAAGCTGACAGGGACTTGAGGCTTTTTCCTTTCTCCCTTTCTTTATGGACAAGAGCTAGGCTTCTGAACCTAACCCTACACTACTTGAATTTGGTCCATTCTCTGTCTCTTATCTTCAATAATGGGTTCCCACTTCCTCTTAGCTGAAAAAACCAGCATTGAATGTAATGAAACACCATTTTCTGGGTGAGACCTGGAGGCTCCCTGGAGCTATCCAGGCTGATATGCTAATGTCAGACTTTGGCATCAGTCTTGTGTATGGAGTTCTTTGAGCCTACCGGGGACCACGAGCCAGAACCTGGCCCCCTCAGAAAAGGCATGAGGAGCAATGGCCTATAGAAATCTCCGTGTGGCTGGAACCATTCTATGTCTGCCATCGACCGGGTCAGGCACCCAGAAAGGTAAGCGTCCCAAAACAAACCCCTATTCTGGTGAAAATTGCTACAAAGAGCCGAACAAATGGATAGAACTCCCCAAAAAGAAACGAGTAAAGACCATGACGTTACACGTCGCCGTGCAGCTATCTGCAGAGCTCCCCCCTCCCCGGGAGGGGAAAGGGGAAGCCCCAGACCCCCGTACCAGCCATCCACCCTTCAGTACTGAGGCTGAATGTCAAAACACATGAAAAACTGCCGACCAGGGGGAAGGGAGGGTTGCCGGGAAGCCTCTGGGTCTCACCCAGAAAATGGCATTTCATTGCGTTTAACGCTGGTTTTCTTGGGGGAGCCCCATCGGCTTGCCCCAATAGCTGAACCGGGAGAAAGAGGTACAGAAACCCCCACCTCGACCAGTCCTGTCGCAAGGCATCAACCCCGAATACCTCGCAGTCGGGGAAGGGTGCCACAAACAGAGGAAGGCGCCGCGACCATGCCGACACGAAGAGGTCCACCTCGGAGCGCTCGAACATCTGGCAGAGCCAACGAAAGGAGTCGGCATCGACCGTCCATTCTGTGGACAGGGGAACGAAACGAGACAGGCCGTCTGCCAAGATGTTGGACACTCCCCGCACGAGAACTGCCAGGAGAGCCAAACCCAAGAACTCAGCAGATGAATCACCCGAAGTGACCAGCCCCAAGGAGCCAAGGACCGCATCAAACTCCCTCGGTTCAGGCAATGAATCACCGGGGAGCAGTCCGAATAGAGCCTGATTGGCAATCCGTGGGGTGACCCAAACCCTCTGAAGAGCAAACCACACCACTGCGTACACCCGCACCGTGCTGTGGGACTGACAGAAGGACGGACCCCACCAACCCTGACCAGCCTGGTGGGCACTGGTCACAAAGCCCCAGCCAAGAGACGACTCATCCGTGAACACATCGAGCGAGGGCTCGGGCAGGTGCCAAGGCACTGAACCCCGAAAAACCCAAAGATGAAGCCGGCGACGCAGCAGCCGACAGAAAACCCCCAGGGGACGAACCCAGCGATTGCGTGAGAGGAGGAAGGGACGTCCCCGAAGGAACCAGAAAAGTCGACGAAGCCAAACCCGACCCGGCGGGTAGACCATCATCGCGAAGTTCAGGCTCCTGCACAGACCCTTGAGCAATCGCCGGGTGACCCAAGAGCCCCCCAAAAACAGGTGCATGCTGGACCGCAGCCATAGGAGAGACTCCGGAGGAAGAGACAAGAAAGCGGTCCGAGAGGCCTACACAAGACCCAGCCAGGTCCAAACCAGGGAAGGAACCAGATGGGGCTTCCTCCAGTTCACCAAGAACCCGAACCCGGCGAGCTGGTTAAGAACCAAATCCCTGGCAAGCAGACAAGAGGACTGGCTGAGAGCCCAAACCAGCCAGTAGTTGAGGTAGGCCAACACCCGAACACCTTAGAGACGCAGACGGGCCACGACGACCCGAGTAAGGTGTGTGAACACACGAGGTGCCAGGTTCAACCCGAACGGGAGACAACAAAAGCGGTAACCCTGACGCCCCACAAGAAAACCAAACCAGTCCCTGAATCCCGGATGAATCGGGACGTGCCAATAAGTGTCCCGGAGGTCCAGGGACACCATCGAAGAGTCCAGCGCCAACAGGAGCGGAACCTGGGACAGCGTAATCATCCAAAAGAAGGGGCAATGAACCCAGGGGTTCAGGTGGGACAAGTCCAGAATAAACCGCAGGTCCGCACAGTCCCGTTTCGGTACTGGGAACAGACGGGAAACCCATCTGAGGGATGTCGTCATTTCCACCACGCCCAAACGAACCCACTCCAAAATGACCCAACAGACCGCAGGAAAAGGGGCCTGCCCCGCCAGCCTTGAACCCCCCAAAGGAGGAGGGACCACCCAATGCCACTTCAGGCTGAAGGAAACGACCCGAAACGCCCCAAATCGTAGGACCAGGCATGGGCGAAAAGCACAAGCCTTCCCCCCATCGCCCCGTCAGTGGGGCGAACCACAAAAGTGCCGGCACCCCTTACAAGACCCCGAACCTCGCATTGGGCGAACACCGCGCCAACCAGACAAAGGTGGGTCCGAAGGCGGGGCCGGACCTGAAACTGGCACCAGTGACCTACCCCAATGAGAGGAACCCCAAACCCTGACACGACCCCTACAGGAAGGCTCACGGGAACCCCAAAGTCAGACATAGGACAACAACTAGTCGAAACAGCCTGCACATACTGAGCCACGGCAGAATCCACAAAAAGGCAGAAGACAAAAAGGCGAGGACATCCTTAGAGCCAGGGCCCAGGCCGATTCCAGAGAGGAGGCAAGCACCGCCTGCCAAAACGTGAGCCGGGAGGCATAAAACAGCGAAATCGCATCCCGTAGGATCGGTGCAAAGAGCATCAACAAGGCAGCCGACAAGCGAGCCGCTGAGCCCAAAGCACCAGACCCAGGAACAGCCCCAAGTATCCCCACATCCTTCTCAAACCAGTCCAAAGACAGCTCCAGGAAGGAAAAGAAGCGTAAGGCCGAAGCCAAGAGGCCACGTGTGCACAAGTCCTCAGTAACCTGCGCAGCCGAAAGGGAGGGAACCTGCACATGGAGCTGCACGATGCCAACATCATGGGGAAGGGCAGAAGCAAACAAGCACTCATTGAGATGCTCAAGGTCGCCCTCCCCAAGGAAACTTGAACCACCATCGAAGCCTCATGCAACTCAAGTGTGCGGGATCGACAAAAGGAATGCTAAGCCTCCAAGCAAACACAGGACAGTCTGCCAGCCAGGACAATTTCGGAACCTCATAACGAAACCAGAAAGGGAACGACGTCCCAAACCTGAAAGATGACAGCTCCATCACCGAGGCATAATCCGGGTCACGTAGGCGGTAAGCCGCAAGGGCTGCCCACACCACAGACGGTACACATATCAGGCACACATTTCCATTGTATCATGCTAATTTATGTATATATACAGTCTATTTACACACTATACACTATCACACACTATATACATTCACCATCAACACACTCAGAACTCTGCAAGTGTCAGCTGCCACACTCTCACATCTCCAACATCCAGTTTCTCCCTCACTCATCCAACATCTTACTCGCCAACATTGCTCCTCCCACCATACTGTTATTGTTTGTATTACACTTATGTATACTTATATATACTTATCTACATGTTTTATTTACCAGAACTATACAAGTAAGCCAGTATAGTGTCCAAACTTTACAGTGGCCACCATACACTGCATGAGAAATCACACAGCAGCCAGCAGACGACGCTACGATTACGTCGCCTCCCTCTCCAAAATAGCTCCTCCCAAAATACTCCTGTTGCTGTTATTACATTATATACACACATTGTATATACCCATGTACAAATGTGTTCACCATAGTAAACCACTAAGTTAGTATGATGAGCAAAACAATAGTGGCTGCCACACAGTGAAGCTACCTCGATTCTCTCCCTCGCTCCCTCACCGCAATTCCTCCTCCCACAATACTATGCACAGTGCTTATTATAACCACAATCTTGCTGTTATCACAATACTGGTCACTAAATCCTGTAAATACATAATTGACCACAAGTTTATTTTGTAAAGGAGCCTAAGAAGTCATTTGAAGATTCCTAGATGGATGAAATAATGCTGTGGTGCTGTGGCTAGTGCTGTGAACATCGTGAACAGCATTGAATCACTAATATTTGAACATTGTGCACAGTCATTATCACACTCAGGCTCTTCTGTAATACTATCATGGCTAAATAATACAAGTTATATATATATTTTGACATTATTAGACGATGCTGTGGTCACATGCTGAACAGCAGTGCTGTGAGCTCATGCTGCATGCGCCGGCCTTGGTTGCTCACTCACTACTGAGGCTCTCACACCCGGGAATGTGGACCAAGGTTTTTTTTAAAGATAGAGTCTGTTTACAAGAGCCCTGAGAAAGCTGATGTGAACCTCATGTAGCCGAGGGAGTTTTGAATGGAACGTGAAAAATACAAATACCCGGAGGCGCATAGCGCACCCCAAATGTGGGCATGCAGGTGAGTTGTGCAGTTAAAGGGTAAAATGTAATGAAATGCCATTTTCTGTGTGAACCTCGGAGGCTCCCTGAAGCTATCGGACTGATATACACTAGTCTGGGGCTCCAATCACATGCTGTTCTGCTTACCAGGAACCATGAACCAGAACCTGCTTTCCTCAGAGAGGCCCAGAGAGCAATGGCCCATGAAAACTTCACTCGTTGAGAAAATATCTATGTCTGCCATCGACTGGGGTTAGGCACCCAGAAAGTTTGGTGACCCAAAACAGACCCCAACTGGTAGAAAATTGCAACCCAAGACCGAACAGAGGCCAAGAACTTCCCCCCAAGAAAAACAAGACAACAAGCAAATAAATCATCATCAAACCAACGTGCTACTCATTCGCCAACACCCCCTTCCCCAGGGAGGAGGAGGCCCCACCCCACCCGAGCCAGCTGCCTGCTCTCCAGTTTGGAAACTGAGCAAATAAAAGAAAAACCGCCAATCAGAGAAAGGGAGGGTGCCAGGAAGCCTCCAGGGCTAACCCAGAAGATAGTGTTTCATTATATTCAACCTAGGTTTTCTGTGGGGAGCCCTGCCGGCTCCCTGGAGCTAGATACCCAAAGATAACTAAAAAAGGAACTTACCCGGGAGGCGGCAGCACCGCGTGCCTCATGACGAAGATGGGACAACTGGCTGCAACTGACGGCCACAGGCCACACAAGGCCACTGAGGGGCCCGGAATGTTCACAAGATAACGGATGGCCAGGATTCTGTTCGACCTCCAAAACCCCCGTGTCCAAATGTCAGCCCAAGACATGTTCCCAAAAACAGCAGCCAGAGCCACAAACTTCCGACATCATGGGCATGTGGGTAGACCGCAGACTGGCTAGACCTGAAACTCTGCGGATGACCTGAGAGACCTGTGCCCTGGAACAGGGAACGAGGGAAATTGGATCAATCCAAAGTGCATCCTCGGACACAGAACCCGAGGTGCACAGGTAACAGCATAGAGCCGAAACCAGACACAAAACATGATGCAACCCTGGCCTGACCAGCCAAGCATCAATAACCTCTCAGACCCCTTTGGAAGCCTGCCGTCTCATTCTTTGCCAGATAAGAAGGAGACGGCTGCAAACAAACAAAACGTCCACCAGGACCAAAAGAGCAAAAACCTCTGCGTTGGAGAACATGAAGCTCACCGACCCGACCTCAGAAGCAAAAGCCAACAAAAACAAAGCCTTTTGAAAACAGTCTTGGACCGAAGGGGGCCATAACAAACCAAGGAGAAGAGGGAAAAGAGAGCACCCAATCCAAAGACCAGGACAGCTCGAGAAAAGCTTATGAAACGGAGCTGAAGTGACATCTACCGCAAACGCAAGCTGCAGCGGCTCCGCCAGCGCTGCATGATAAGAGGCAACAGTATTCGGCATAAGATGTTGGTCCTGAAATAGCCAAGACAGGAAAGACAAAAAACCACGAACAGAAACAGAAGGCAACCTACGAAGAGAAAAGAAGTGGCAAAAAGAACGCCAAGAGACTTCATACAGGTGCCAAGAAGACCGCAGGTAAGACACCACGAGAGTTGAAAAGAATCCCTGACAGGAAAATGAGGCCAGATGAGACGTTAGCCCCAGCTGGCTTCAGTCGACGAACTAATGAGTAGGCGGCCGGCTTGGGTGGGTAGGGCCTTGCCCTCCTGGTTGGGTGTGTGCGAAAGAGAAATGCATCTGATTTGCTTGTTGCCTTGTTTTTCTTGGGGAAGCTCTTGGACTCTGTTCGGTCTTGGGTTGCAATTTTCTACCAGTTGGGGTCTGTTTTGGGTCACCTACCTTTTTGAGTCCCTAAACCCTAGTCAATGGCAGACATGAACATACTCTCAGAGTGGAGTTTTCATAGGCCATTGTTCCATGCAGCTCTGAGGGAACCAGGTTCTGGCTCATTGCTCCCAGTGGGCAGAACTCCATGTGACTGAAGCCCCAGACTAATATAGCTAAAATCAGTCTGATAGCTTCAGGGAGCCAATGGGGCTTCCCACAGAAAAGAAGCAAGATTCTTGCAGAGATAAAATATAAATGTGAGAATCTTGTACAAAGATATAGTAAAAAATATATAAATGCTACTCGATAACTAATCCACACATCAGAAGATGAAGAAACAACGATGTTTCGGTCCGTCCTGGACCATTATCAAGACGTGTCTTGATAATGGTCCAGGACGGACCGAAAAGTCGTTGTTTCTTCATCTTTGATGTGTAGTTTGGTCATCATATCTTCAGCCACGTTATTGCTACTTACTGTGCTAGATAATTTATCCATGAGTTCCTGGAGTTGAGATCTAAATTTGGAAGCCACAGAGATAAAAGAGAGTTTGCCACGGACTGAATGGCTCTCTCCAGAGGCAGCAAACAGACCTTGAATAAACTTATTATGTGCCTCTTGAACTAGTGCTTCAAGTGATGCATGAAGGGCATCATTATTCTTCTCCAAAAACTGTGCCTGTAAAATGGATGAAAACTTTAAATGCCATCAAATACAGAATATAACAAGTTCTAAGCTCCAGAAATTTATACAAACTGAATCAGCATTATATCGTCAATTTTTTTTTTTTGGAAGGATGGGGATGGGGGGGGCAGAAATTCAACTTAACCCTTAACATGCTCGGGGTTTAATATCCTGTCATCCCCACAGGCGCATGTCATTTTGAAAAAAAAAAAATTATTTTTTCTTCCTAACCTGTTAATTTGTGTTCACTGATCACGGGAAAAATAATAAAAAAATCGTAAGTGGCATATATTGCCCGCTATAGGGCGGGGAAGTCTGGCAAATTATAGGCGCTGACTCAGCGTGCGTCCCAGGCGGTCTGTTGCTCGCAAGCTGTCAGGCCGGAGTTGCCACAAAGAGATAATTACCGAATTATTTCAATGTCTCTGATTGATTTTTCATACTTTTTTTGCTGTAATATTATTCAATAGTGTGTAGTTTGATATATTTATATAATAAAATGAGTGAATCATTGCTGTACTCAAAAATATGGTGTGCATATTGTTGATTCAATTATGTTCATCAATCAGTGAACAAATACTTTGTCGGTTATTACATTATAAGCACAGGTTATATATAAGTATCTGCATGTTTTGTTCACTATAACGAACCACTAAGTAGCTATTATGAGTCAAAAAGTAACGAGGAGTGACCGCCGTTTACCAGCCAGCCACTCCCGCCCTCCCTCCAGTCATCTGACTCACCCACATTCTCCTCCCACAATAATGTTTTTGCTATAATTCACTATATACAGACGTTATATATAAGTATCTACATGTTTTGTTCACCATAACTGTACATCTAAGCTTGTATGGTGAGTAAAGGCACAAAGATGTGGCTACTCACACAGTCAGCTGATCGGCGGCCGCCCTCAAGGCCAGACGCACTAATATTTCTCCTCCAACAATACTGTGTGGTGTTATTACGCTATATACACACATTATATATAAATATCTACCTGTTTTATTCACCATACTTGTACAAATAAACTGGTATGGTGCCCAAAGACCATCGTGGTAACCAGTAAACAACACCGTCGTCTGCACGGTGGCGTCGTGCAGACGACGCCACCGCCCTCACCAAAATGGCGGCTCCAAACCTTCTCTTGCTGTTTATACCCTCTATACACACGTTATATATAAGTATCTACATTTGTGTTCACCATAGCGAACCACTAAGCTGGTATGCTGAGTGCAGTCAATAAAAGGTGGCCACACACAGTCAAAAGACATCGCCACCACCCTCCCTCCCACAGCATTACTCCTCCCTCCATGGCGCACAGCGCTAAATATCACCACAATCCTGCTATTATCAGAACCCTGGTCAGTTTTATCACAGTCAGGGGTCTTCTGTAATAATATCATCGCTACATAATAGCATGAACAAGTATAATTTGGCATTTTTAGGCGATGCTGTGGTCACAAGCTGAACAGCAGTGCTGTTAGCTCATGCTGCGTGCGTCAGGCTTGGTTGCTCACTCAATACTGAGGCCAATAACACCCGGGAGTTTGGCCCACGATTTTTTTTTTAAAATGGCGTCTGTTTACAAGAGCCCTGATGAAGGTGTGGTGAACCCCGTGTATCCGCGGGCTGTTTAAATCTTGCGTAGTACTCCAACACATCATATGACGTGATGCGCAGTTGACTGGAACAACGTCCAGCACGTCATATGACGTGATGCGCACTTTAAGGGTTAAAGTGCGTGTGTGACGACTTGGGAAGTTTGCTCTCTTCGTCTAACAAGCTGATAATTCCACATCCTTTGGCTTCAATCACATCTAAAGAGAGAGAAATTAATTCTGGATATCAATACTATCTAAATACAGCATATCAGACACATTGTGAAGCACAGTAGTCTATATACACTAGGGACAAAGGACAGGCATGGCAGGGGAAAGTGAGGCAGGCAAAGCAAAAGAAAGTCAGGCAGGCGAGGCAGGATGAAAGGTCAAGAGAAATGAGAATGTGCCAGCTGGTTTGTCTCCAAGATTCATATGTTAAATAATACAGTATAACATTTCTAGTGTTAGTTCCACATAAAAGTAAGCCAATAGAGGAGAACCAGTGCTAACAACAAGAGGCATTTAGGAGCAAACTTACCAATACAGTCCTGGTTATCAACGTAAGAGATTTTTCTTACACCGAGTCCTTCCTTCTCATACAGTGCCTGTTCTTCTTTCAAAATACGTTCATTGAAGAACATTTGTAGTTTTTCATTGCAGTAGTTGATGCAAAACTGTTCAAAGCTGTTCACTGGGAAGTACTCTGACGGTAACAAGAATAAAGAATTAATTTACAAACTTGAAGTACATTATTTAATGAATTAAGGCAAGCATCTAAATATTAACAATTATGCAATCACTTCATATCTGCTGAAGCAAAAAAAAATTACAATATTTGATGCTTTAGTAAAATATTTACACATGTTCCAGTGCCTGAAAATGGCTTAGTTTAGTAGACTAGAACAACAACATACTAGATGCATAATGAGAGCACAGGAAAATATAGCTGGTGTTTATGTTGCTGTAAAGTACCGTATATTCTTTAACAATGTTAAATGTTAACACCTCTCAAACAACTGTCACCCAACTGTCAATTAGGCAATCTTTTCACAGCACCTGCCTCCCTACCACAGGATGGTAGAAAATGGTATAATTTATATGTGGTTTACTTGTAGCTGTTTTCAAGAGTTCTTCAAATAATGCCTAACCCCTAGACTTCCCAAGTGATAGCTTGATTAATAAGTCTACTGCTGGTAGCAAGCTATAGTGGTAGTGGAAGCTTCACAAAATTGATAAAAGACTGGTAGAAATAGATTGTTTGGCCAACATGTTTGGGTCACTGGGCCCTGTGGTGTTAGGTGCAACTGTCAATTATATATGAAAAGATCGTGTACAAGTCACTGGATCTTGTAGTGATGACAATAGCTGTATTTTACAGTGAATGATTGCTATTGATATATATAATGTAATATAGAAAACCCTAGATGAAAATATTTATAACTAAAACTAATAAAAAGCTAAACTATCCAGTGTCAGCAACTATGAATAACCAACCAAGTAAATATCAATGCTCAAAATTATACAGAACTCCTGTGATATTTTGCAGAAAGACAAAATGCTTACCAAACCCAGCAATATCCAGAATGCCAATGTAATAGGATGAAGAGGAGAACGGGATACTCTGGTTGATTCGATGAACAATATAGTCAAACAGTTTGCTGTACATGGCTTTGGCCAATGCATCCCGAGCACTGCTGGCTTCATATGTTTTCAGTGGAACCCTGAAGTGTGCAGAAGTAGGATAAAAATAAGAATCTATTACTGATAAAAGGGATAACATTTCCACTGTTCCCATGTTCTAGTGAATCAAAGCTAACATTATGGTATTACTATATTAATTAACTGATTACAATAAACCTTCTTTAGACTCTTCACAATGAGTAAGGATAAAAATAATAGAAGCTTTTACAAGTTAATAAAATAATGCATGATTTTACTTACATGATGACAGTGCCCTTCAGGCCACCCTTGCTGGTTTGCATAACACGAGACAATAGTGCCTGGTTGAGCTCCGATGGGTCCACGCCCATCAGCGCTGCTGCTGTTTTCAAAGATGCGTCGCATGCAGGAGACACCATACAACCACCTGAAGAGATTTATCTTATATCTTGATTTGCATTGAACACATTGCTTAACACAATTTAAGTTCTAAATTGACAACTTTGATATGATGCATACTACAGTACTGGACTGTATATTGCAACATCAGTCAAGTATTGCTGCATACAGTGTCAATAAAGTATACATGTAAAATACACAAATATTCACTCAAGATGATTCGATAATAGTTAGGGGAATAGAAGGAAGCAACTCTGTGTATTGAAAGTGTGATACAAAACCAGCATTGAATATAATGAAAAGCCAATCTGACAAAGATAGGTCACCATAACCCGACCCAAACCATGCCAACACGCAGAGCCAAATTCAGGCTAAGTGGGAGTACCTGGAAGAGGTAAGCTTCATGCCCCCACTATAAATTCTAACAAATCCCAGAACCTCGAAAGTACAGGGATGTGCTGGTAAGTGTCCTAGTGGTCTAGATATATCATCCAAGTACCCGGCTCGAGAACAAGATGGATCTGGAACAGAGTGGTTATCCGGAAAGTGGGGCATAGAATTCAACCGCAAGCACAATGCCAACGAGACACAGATGAAGCAGTTGTAGGAAGTGCTTGTGACCTGACACCTAGCTCCACCGATGGCCCACCTCTACCAACTGGGCAAGCCCCGCCTGCCCAGACTGTCTCAGAGAATGAGAACAACTCTGCCCAATACAGAAAAGGTCCTGAATAGGCCAACAAGATGTAGCAACAGAGGACAAAAACTGAGCCATAGCATCCTCTTGGAAGAGAAGTGGAAAGAAGGGCAAAGGCCCAGGTCAAATCTAGAGAGAGCCAACACAGTCTGCTGACATGCAAGCAGCACAGAGAAGAACATGGCCACCATATCCTGCAGAAAAGGAGCATACAGCTTAGGGAGAGTGACACGAATGAGGCCAAAACTCCTGCAAGAGGGCTACGCCCAAGCAGTCCAATATTCTCCATGAGCCAATCAGAATGCAGCTCAAGGAGACTAAGATAGCACAATACACAGCCCAAATGTTGATGGGCACCATCCACAACTGATGTCAACAGCAAAGGAACATGCAGATGAAAAGCCTCAACATCCTGGGAAAGAGCGAGGACAAACAGGCAAGCATTAAGGTGCTCAAATGACAAGCCCCAAAAATACCTGAAACATGGTTGCAATC